TCCGTGGTGAAGTTGGAGTAGGTGGCCGCCGCTGCCAGGGCAGCCCTTGTCACTGGCACCACCGCCGACGTGGGCATCGCCGAGGCCTCAGCAGGCGCCTCGGCCGTCGCCGTGGGGCCTCCGTCCGAGGCACCTTCAGAGGCAGCGGCACTGGGGGCGGCCCCCGTACCGCTGCCTCCGTCGGCACCCTCGGCAGGCGTCGCTGATCCCGTGGGCAGTGTCGGCGCCGTCCGAAAGGTCGCCGCCTCAGACATCACGTCGAACCCCTCGTCCGAGACATCTTCGCTCTCCGACGCGCCCACCTGCTGGCCAGGGCGTTGCGCAGGCCCCGCTTTGGGAGTGGGCGCGTCGGCCGCGGTCGCACCGCTGGCCTTCGCGCGTGCCTCGGCCTTCGCCTTAGCCTTCGCCGCCAGCGCCTCGCGAAGAGGCGCCGCGTCGTGACTGGGCGAGTTGGCATGCGTCACTGCAGGCCACGGCATCGGCGCGGGCTTCGAGAACTTGGGCGCCATCACTTGGTCGGAAGGATGGCACGGGAGGTGCAGCTCAAGAGATCGTGCGAAGCGAGACCTCACGAGCCAAACAGCTGCCGAGGAAGAGAGGGGAGGAGAGAGGCTGTACACCGAACCAAAATGGGGCGGCCGACTGCCAGGGCGGGGCAAAGATAAAACATGAGAACTAAAGGTTGAAACCAGCGGCTCCAGGTGAGTGGAGACCGATCCTTGTGCAGGCTGAAAACGGCCTGACCCCCGTTCGGGACCCTGGGCGGGCAGGAGAGGGGAAAGGGGGGCGAGGAAACCACGTCGCGGGCGGGCGACAATGCGGACGGCGGGCCGCCGACGGTCCCAGGACCCGCGGGGCGACCCCGATCTTGAACGCCTCTTGACGCCTCTTTTACAAGTGGTCTCGGGCTGGCGCTGCTGGCGGAACGATGGCCCATCGCGGCCGGGTTGAGAGAGCAGCTCAAGACTATGAAAACAACGAAGGTGGCATGGCGGGAACACAACGCGCACAAGGCTGCGCACCTGCACAACGCAGCGTGCAGGACAGACATGGCAAAGCAAGAGCGCATCATGCACACTATGAGGGAACTATACAGTACAGTACACACAGCTGACGTGACCACGGCTTTACAAGTGATCAGGGCAGCAGGCAGGCTAGGGGGGAGGGGAGGGCCAGGGGGCGCACGCGTGTGGGAGGGAGCCACATCTAGTCAAGACCGGACACTCGGGGCGACCCCGGCGCCCAGCCCGACTACGTCCTCCGTCGCCAGGGCGACCTGCTCAGCGATTTGGCCCTGCAAGGCGTTGGCCACTGCCGCGCGCAGGGACGAGCGCGCTGCGGGCCGTTCAGCCTCGGGCAATTCCCCTACGGCACGGCGCAGCCACGTCTCCGCCTCTGCTCCCCAGCGGCCATTGACATCGAGAACAAAGGGCACCAGGCCAGAAAATGTGTATCTACGGTGCTTCACTTTTTCTCTGCGCTGCAGGGATGCCTGATGCGGCCGCCCCGTCTGGGCCACGGCCACTTCGCCCACCAAGCTGATGTCGAGACATACCCGGCCATGGAGGCCTCGATGGTAGACGACGTCCAGTGTGGCCGCGCCCTGTTCTTCCGTGTGCCACTTTGGGATGACCTGCTCCACTAGGGCGCGATGGCCCACACCGCGCAACCAGAGCGCCACGGCATCTCGAATGGCGGTGTGGCGGCGCACCGGGCCACCTCCCCTGGGGCAGTTGAGCGCGTGGACGCCGCGGACGTCCACCTTGCGGCCGCGCGCCGGGCCGGCCTGCGCCGCCGCGCGAGTGGGCGCCGCCGGCCGGTTCTGGCACGTGCACTCGGACTGCAGCAGCGGCAAATGCATGCGCCTCTTGGCCGTAATGCAAAACGCGTGGTCGGCGAGGGGCGAAACACCCTCGAAGTTATCCAACCAGGCGCCCGCTGAGCTGCCCGAGGCACTATGCACCGCCGCCGCCGCCGTCACCGGCAGCGCGGCCAAGAACGTCTTGGTGGCGTGGTCCCGCACGTGCTGGGTCGTCTTCTGGTCTTTGCCCCTCCGCCCTTCCAAGAGGCCCTGCCAACGATCGCCCTGGGGGCGACGGCCTCCTGCCAGCCGTCCCTGCTCCTCGCCCGCTGCCGAGAGGGCACGGCTGAGGCCCGGCCACCGCCGAAAGAAGCCAATCGTTGTCGTCTCGCGGAGCTCTTGGGCCGCCGCGTGGATCCCGGCTTCCCAGGACGCCAGGAGGGCAGCGGGGCCGCGCTGTTCGGCGCTGCCACAGCCCAAGCCTCCGTCGCTGACCTTCATGAAGATCTGCTCTCGGGGGGCGGCCGTGACCCCCAGAAGGGCGTTGACGAGGGCGACCACTCCGTCATCCACCCTGCGGCCCCACGCCGCCGCGAGCGGAAGCGCCCGCTGGATGTGGACGCAGGCGCCCCTCGACCAGATCCGCATCAGCTGGAAGGCGTCCAAGGCAGACAGCCCGTGCGTGCGGAGCGTCAGGAGCTCTCGGAAGTAGCGGTCCTGCTTCTGGAGGAAGGCCTCGCCGCAGGGGAGTGGCGTGGCGGCGCCCGGGGCGACCCCGGCACCGCCAGCCGGTGCGAGGCCACCTTCGCCGAGGTTCTCCGGGACGGCAAAGTCCGTGAGCGGGACGTCCCGCCAGTCAGCATCCACGCCGTGGTTTGTGTAGGCCAGGGTAGACCCCACCGCCTTGAGCTTCTGGACGCGGTACTGGGCGTACTCCGCGAACTCCGGCGGCAGGACAGCGCGAGGATCCGGGGACCAGATCTGGGTCTTGGACATCTTCAGCTTCATCCCATGGGCTTCGATGCGGGCTCGCCAGGCATCCAAGCCGCGGAACACAGCAGCCGCGGTCCCCACGAAGTACGCGTCGTCCAAGAACGCCAGGCAGTCCCCCTCGACGTCCACCGCGCGCACGGCCATGCGACCGACGCTGAGAACATCCGCAGTGCCGACCGCGTAGAAACCAGGGCTCATCGGGCAGCCCTGGTCGAGGCCACGGATCTGGTCGACCAACTGGGCAGGTTGGGACCCGCCTCCCGCCACGTGGCGTGTGCGAGCAGGGAGCCAGGCCTCCGCCAGCGGCGCCAGGGCGGGCACCTTGGAGCGCACGGCCTCCTTCGCGAGGTCACGGGGGATGTTGCTGAACGCATCTCCGAGGTCCACCGCCACTACCCATTTGCCTGGGCTCGGGTTGGCCATCGTGCAAAGGCGTCGGCGGAGGGCACCGCATCCGTCCTTAGCCAGGCCAAACTGTTGGTCCCCCACTGCCGCCCGCATGTCCTTGTGGTGGACCTTGGCAGCGCTGCGGCCCACCATGCGGCGGGTGACATTCCCACAGCCCAGGACTCGCACGTCCCCAGGGGTTGCCTTGGGGATGCCTGCGAGGCGCGCCGCGGTCAGGGCGGCTAGAGCTTCGGGAGGAAGGTCGCCGATGGCCAGGCGCGCCAGCGTGTTGGCTACCGCCTCCGCTCCGTCTTCATCGTGTTTGAGCGGGGCCCAGTGCTCGTAGCGTCCGCCTCCAGGCCCCGCCCCGCCACGGCGGGGGAAGCGACCAAACTGGCGCTTGAGGTGGTTGGCCACGCGGCGGTGGAGCTCTGCCGCGCCGTTGAGTTGGTGAGAGGGCGTGGCTGGCGGCATCGCCACGTCGGCTCCCGCCGCGGGCACCCCCCCCTGGCCCATGCGGGGCGGCCCCAGTGCCAGGGGGGGGGGGCCATTCGCCTGGGCGAGGCGCCGCAGGCTGCTGGGTGGTGCTGAACTTCCTCACCACCGCCGCTGCATCCGCCATGTCACCCTGGGGCCACACTGCCGCTGCCGCCCGAGACATTTCGCCCGCTCGCGCGAGCTCGGTGACACGGCGAACGCGGGCCGCAACGTGGTCTTCGCGGCCCTTCGTGGTGACCGAGGTGCGCGTCTGGTCCTCCATGGAGAGCCAGGCGACATCCCATTGGCCGTCCTGGATCCACTGCAGACGCTCCTGGAGACGTTCTCGTCGCGTCGTCGGGGTCGGGGTCGCGTTCTCGCTGAACAGCAGCCCATCCAACGTTAAGAACACCTTCCACAGCCGCGTCAGCGTGTGCGATGCCAGGTCGTCGCTGCCCTGGCGCGCCTGCTCGATCGCTAGGCACAGCCGCACCTTCACGTGGCTAACGGCGGCGGCCATGCCGTCAGGGATCATGGCCGTGGTGGGCGCGCCCTGCAGCAGGATGCGGTCCCACCCGATGGAGTCCCACCAATCCAGATTGACAAACCCAATCTCGTGGTATGCATCATCGTCCGCCACCTGATCGTCCAGGTAGTCGTCGTAGACGCCTGCTTCGAGCCCCCCGTCGTCGTCCACGGCCGCGGGGGCGTCGAGGGGCGGCTGCAGGATGTCCGCGGGAGACGGTGCCGCTGCCTCGGCTGCCACAGGGGGAGCCCCTCGGGAGCCTGGGCCATACGCCCCTGGCGCGGCGGCGGCAGGGAGCCTCGGGGC